GAGACGAGTGACTACCCAGTGGACTGTGAGCCAAATAGGAGGAGGAGCAACAAGAAGCTGAGCCTCAGTGCAAGCTGCTCGGTAGCTAGCGACAAGGGAGCGCAAGTGTGTGGCTAGGTCAGAGACAGTCGCAAAAGAGCCGAGGTCGGGAAACACGAACGGCATGAGGATGCGGCTGAGGGAGGCAGAGGAAGGGGTGGAATAGCGTGCAGAAATAGCATCATACACCTCCTTCGCAGTCTCTACCAGGTCGAAGTGAGCGGCCTCAGTCGGTGGAAGGAGCTCGGTCAGCGCGAGTGCAGCCGCAGCGTCACGGGAGTCCCAAACGTCCCGCGCCAAGACGAGACGAGCGTAGTCCGCCTGTGCCTCCGGAGTCGGGGGGGGCACGGCAGGGAGGGGCTCGGGACGCGGTGGTGCCTGGAGGGCGCCGGACGCGTGGGCGTACAGGGTGGCGCCGTCCTGGCGCTGACTGGTGAGATAGCGCTGAGTCTGGCGGAGCCAGGTGCCGAACTCTATCGGGCGCCCCTCTGCATCGAAACGAAGGCGGCGGGAGGAGTCCATATTGGACGCTAGGCTAGGAACAGCTGGAGCACGGAGCAAACGGAGCTAGGAGCGAGGAGCGCCAGGTGGGACTAGGCGAGGTACTGCTGGAGCACGGAGGAAAACTGAGCTAGGAACGCCAGTCTAGTAACGAACGGAGCTGGGAGTTAGCTGACCTAGGAGCACACGGCTGGAGGAGGCAGGGCTGACGAGCCGATCGAGGAGCCAGAGGGTCGTTCGAGGGGCTGGCGGAGCGAGGAGAGACCTAGCTAACAACGAACGTCAGGACTAGCCTAAACAGCTAAGCGGAGCGGCCTCCAGCCGCGACGGTGCGAAACACTGTGAGTATGAGTGACGCGAGTGTCGAACCAACGGAGGTCGGGTGGTCCTGGGTGGTGTGCGCGCGTGATAAGGGGATGTGAGCGTTTGGAAGGGGCTCTGAGCGGTTGGAAGGGGCTGTGAGCGGTTGGAAGGGGCTGTGAGCGGTTGGAACGGGCTGTGAGCGGTTGGAAGGGGCTGTGAGCGGTTGGAAGGGGCTGTGAGCGGTTGAAAGGGGCTATGGGCGGGTGGGAGGGGCTAGCTGGCGCCAGTTGCTGGCGGCTAGGTTCCGGTGGCTAGCTGCTGCTGGCGGCTAGCTTCTGCCTAGCCGTGCTGCTGCTGCAGGAGCACGCGCTGCTGCCTAGCCGTGCTGCTGCTGCAATGCACACGTTGCTGCCTAGCCGTGCTGCTGCTGCAATGCACGCGCTGCTGCCTAGCCGTGCTGCTGCTGCAATGCACGCGCTGCTGCCTAGCCGTGCTGCTGCAGCAAAGCACGCGCTGCTGCTGCAATGCGCGTGCTGCAGTGGCGTGCGCGGCTGCCGCTGGCTAACGCGCGCGCTGCTGCGGGCTAAGAACGACTACGCGGGCCCGCGGGGGGGGGGGGGAGAGTCCCTTCTGGAGCGCGACGAAACGAGGGGCCAGCGGGGCCCTGTAAACGCGACGAAAAACGAGGCCCGCGGGGGCCCTTAAACGCGACGAAAACGAGGCCCGCGGGGGCCCTTAAACGCGACGAAAACGAGGCCCGCGGGGGCCGTCCTACCCGCGACGAAACGGGGCCTAAGGGACGGGCGCCTCGGGACCGGCTAAGGGAAGGAGCGGAAGCGTGGGAGGGAGTAAAAAACCTACTCTAATACCATCTTAAGATAGGCTAGGAGACAAGTGTCGAGAGTAATATTTGAGTAAGGAGGGACAAGGAGATACAAATGTCGGCCTAAAGTGTTGTACCCTTTAGAGGGCAACTCACAGTAGCCTATCTAACAATATATAGAATATATAAACATTTGACAAGGGGTATAGATTTGTTTGCCCTGTCTGCACGATAGAATGAAGTACAAACAGTTTGCGGAACGAGCACCAGAATGTCAGTTACATATGAAAAGTTGTTTTCACAACACTTACGTGTTTGCAATTAGCTTGAAAATTGGAAAGTGTGTCAGGATTTCGGAAAGTGTGTCAGAATTTCGGAAAACTGTGTCAGAATTTCGGAGAGTGTGTCAGAGGTTTCTGCTTCAAGATTCGTCAATTTAGTCTGACGCGAGCGGGAAAAACCAGAATCAGGGTATTTTGGGTGAGAGTTTCTCCTAGTTACCATTCGCGTGATCGGCTGCTAGTGTATAGTTACCATACGCGTTAAGCGAGTTACCAAACGTGTTAAGCGAGTTACCAAACGCGTTAAGCGAGTTACCGAACGCGTTGAAATCGTTACCGTACGCGTTATAGTGCCCCATGTAAGTTACCATTGACATATTTTCCCTAATTGCAAGGTTGGATGATACTGAAGTGTACATGAAATAATATATCTGTGGACCCCACTCAATCACATGATTGAAGAAGTATATAGAACCTTTCAGTCCAACACAGTTCAAAGCATGGTACTGCCAAAAAACGAAGCTGCAAAAGGTATTTCATTATAACATTTGAAGCGAGCGTATACATTTTGCAGGGCTTAGGTAGTAATTTGGTTTTGCAGTATGGCAAAACTAGTTACTAGCATGTGCGAGGGCGGAACCACGAGAAGGATGTTGGTGAAAATCACAGGCCCTCGCAAGTCAGTGCCAGCCAGATGACAATGCCAAAAGAAATCAGAGTGCACGATGGCATCAAGCCATCGAAACAAGCTGAATTATGCTTCCAATTCAGGTATATTTTCACCCAGTCCACAACAACCCCAAGTAGTTGTGCACAATCCCCCAAAGCTGGAGCTACTCCTCCTTGGGCTCAGCCCTAAAGCTGCCAGGACCACTACTCCCACTCATAGGTATGTCCCCGCCTTCCTCCGTGGTCTTCCCTTCCACACCTTCACTCGCCATAGCTGCAGCAGCCCTCGCCAGCTCAGGACCTGTCTTCGCCTGTGCACCCCTTCCAGGACCTTTTGACGTGCTCTGATGCGTCTTCCCTGTCACGGCACTCCTCTCTTGGTTGCTGGTTGTGAAAGGCACTCCCATCTGCACGTTCTTGTCCGCAGCAGATTGTAAAGTAGCTGCTGGCCCGCCTGGGATCGTCTGCAACAGACACGCATAGAGTAGGACTGCGCATTTCAGAAGGCTCGAAAACGTGGATCATCTTGTGATGGTTTGGAAAGAAAAAGAGAAAGAAAAAAAAAGACAATTGCACGTATAAGAACACAAGACATGCACGCGTACGTGCATAGGAACAGGTACATACGATATGAGGAGCCATTATACATGAAGTTCCAGAGGTCGGTCACGGAACTTCCAGGCCCACGGCGCATGTGGTGAACTGTTGTAAGGATAATGGAAACCACTGCTCTCTACCAAGGAGGAGTGCTTGAAAACACATGTACAACCGCAGCATAGAGATCACTTGACACATCATAAGTCACCATGCATGCACAGCACGCAAACGTATAGTACTTACCACGTCATCTCAAGAATTGGACTGTTAGTAGGTACCTTCCCATGCGTGGCAGTCTCTACCATCTGCTGATACGCCGCGTCCTCCTTGGTGACCGGGCGATCTTGCGCTGCAAGCTGCTCCCGCTTTGTTGCTTTCCCGGCCACATCCGCCACGGTAATTGGCGAAGTTGACTCCCCTTCCGCCTGGTGCTCGCGCTCCTGCCGCTGCGCCATGGGAATATGGTCTGCACTCTCTTCAGTGAAGACAAGGGAGTCTGCGCTGCGTTCACTTCGTTGGCACAGAAGTCTGCGTCCTCGTAACCCGCTTCGTGTGAGGCGAAACTGTTCGGAAAGAGATGCTAGGAGAACAAACATGCGCTGTTTGAAGGTGAAAGGAAGCGAGTGAAGATTGAATGAAGAATTGGTTTCTTCTCATCGCCCATGGCGCCGTAAGATAGAGCCGCATGAATTTCGCGTGGTTTAGCTAGGCGTCGCAGCTCATGTGCAGACGGCACGTGGCGTACTATGAGCGGCATGAAGGAGGCGTTTATTGAACACGAGGCCAGCATATAAACAGAGTCAAAGCTCACACAGGTTTCGTCCGCTTTGGAGAAACCTCCGATTAGAGACAATGGCTTTGATAGTGTGAGCGAGCCAGGACAGATAGTACACTACACAACCCATAACAATTGAAACTCCATATGCATGAATGTTTAAAATTTTCCTATCGTATTTTACGGGTCGAAAACTTAGGGTTCTTTTGAAAGTTTTGAAGAGGAAGAGAACCATGGTGTACCGTTTTCAGCCGTTCCGCGATTTCGCCCCACCTCATGCTGAACCATATTGTGCACATGCACCATGCGAAGCCATGGCTCCGAAGCGGGCTCGCAGATTGCTCGCACGAATGCCATGCTGCACATTCATGCTTCCCGTCCGTGTAACGCGAGTTGGTTCCTAAGCTGGTTGCACGTGGAGCTAGATTCTGCCTGACTTAAAAAGCAAGCGTGCCATGCGCGCCATGTTGGCTACTATCTTGAGTCATACTCGCGAAAAAGCCCGAGGCGCCTCAAGCTCCTACCTCAAGCGGTCCGGGTATTTCCTTCTGCATGGCATACCTGGGCTCCCGTGTCGCATCACCACCTCTCTCCCACGTACCGCGCGCATTGCCTCTCTTCTCCCGCTCGTTCGCTTGCGGGAGCCGACGTAGCTCGCGGGATTGCTCTCATCACGGCGCGGCTCGCTGCGACGACCTCACTGCCATTACGGAAGCTCTCGCAGCCATAAATGTTGCTCGTTCTTACCCCCCTGCGCCAAACGCACTAGTTACTAACTCTTCGGTCACCTCTGCCGCCACTCTCCTCTCCTCTCCTCTCCTCTTCACACTCCCTGCACTCTCGCAATCCAGTAGCCATCTCTTCTCATCCCGTCGATCCGCCGGTCTGCGCGTTCGGAGTGCCATCTCTTCTCATCACCCTCTCTCCTGCACCGGCTGCCCGTCGTCCTCGACTCGACATGGCACAGCAGCATCGCGAGCGCGCGCAGGAGCGCGAACCTTTCACGAGCGAGATGCTAGCGCAGCACGAAGAGACCCGGAAGCGCGAGTTCGAGAGCCAGCCTGGGGAGGTCAAGGAAGCAATAGCCGCAGCTGGCGGCGGCTCGGCCGTCACCCCCGTCACCGCGCCCGGCCGCGGCGGCGGCGAGAAAGGCGGCGCTCCGGGCGCGCCGAGCGTTGAGGGCGGCGCGAGGGGGGAAGAGAAGCCGTCCGCGGCACGGGAAGAGGGCGCCGCGAGTCGCGGGACGAAGAAGGGCGACGACATGCCGACAACGGCGGCAGGGAGAATGGGCGGCGGCGTGGCGGCACCTGAGGTGCCGATTCGGATGCGGGACGTGCTGCCCGAGGGGGAGGTGCAGGCGGGAGCGCTGGACATGCCCGTCACGAAGATGGACGCCGCTGCGAAGCAGAGGGAGGAAACCGCGGAGTTCGGAGGGGTATGTTGGGGTTGGGGAAGTGGAAGGGGTCGGGATGGATGAGGTGGGGTTGGGTCGGGTACCGGATGCCTGCGGAATGCCTGCGTTTGAAATTTGCTTTAGGGAGTAGATCAGTAAACCGCATGGTACGAGGGAGTGAGGCCCAGAGACCCCTGGTGAGGGGACAAAATCTGGGAGGTGGCAAGCGAGGTTGTGAGGGGGGAATTGATGATGCTATTTTGGGATGATTGTCCTGGAGTCTTGGCGTGTTTGAGCGTGGCGTTTTCGTTGATGAAGAAAAGAGGGTGAGGATGGACGCAAGATTTTAGCTGCTGGTGAAGATTCGTTCGTTCATTGGCCAAGCCACTGCCTGCCTCACCCTCAAGCTGCTACGGCCTCAGTTAGCTCTCCTCTTTAAGTTCCGGTCCCCTCTTAAAAGCTCCTTCTGTCGACCCTCTACGTTCGCCTACCGCCCTCGTACCCCACCCCCGCTCCCCTCCCCACCCCTCCTCCCCCCGTGGCAGCCAGTGAAGGGCGGCACAGCAGCGGCGATGCAGTCAGCGGCGGACAAGAACGTGCAGGCGGGGGTGGTGCCGCCCATGGGGGCAGAGCTGGCCAGTGCGAAAGCTGCAGAGGCCACCGCACAGGGCCGCAAGCTCGGAGCGCCCTGAAGAAGAATACAGGGAAAGGGGCTCGCGATGGGGTAGGGAGGGAGCACATGTGGTGAGACTGGAGAGTGGAGTGTACTCGTTTTCTTTTTTGATGGCAGGGGTGTGTAGCGCAGAGTGCAGCTGCTGCCTGCTGTGCTTTATTGGGCCCCGCTGGAGGCAAATGGTGGATGCAGGTGCTGTGTTTGCAGGTTAGCGTACATTTTCCTGTGATATTCTTTTCCTTTTGCACTAGACTGTGTGCGGTGCTTAGATCTTTTAGTCGCATAAACAATTGAGCTGGATAAACATGTATGAAAGAGTGCTGTTGTGGCATCATAACCACCAATGCTCACCTCTATTCACTTTGTGGAGTCATCTGAAACCTCGAAAGTGTGTTTCATTCCTACACCGAGTACGTATATGCAAAACGATGCGCTAAAATTGTCGCTAAGTATCATCACCTCCACAATAACGCGTCACATGAATTCGAATGCCTGAAGCACCACCACTCACGTCGGTCAAGCCGTGCATGTCGACCAGGTGCTTCGGTCGGTGCATCCATCAAGAGCGGTTGAGTACGATGCTGTGCGTTTCACCCACACAGCCAAGAAACATGTTTTCCTCATTCCCTGAGCTGACGTGTTCACTTCTCGCGCGCGCACAATCCGTCCGAAACTCCCACCAGGCTCCCGCTGACGTCACTCACTTTGGGCTGCCCCAGCAACACCGGAATTCAGTACCTATCGTGGAGTGAACCCTACCCGTCGTTCTCGCTCTCGCCCTCGCCCTCGCCTAGCTTGCCCGACACGCTATCACTGACGCCCCCGACCGGACTTGGGGTACGGCCTGTGTGCAGCGCGCTGCCTGTTTCCCCGTGCGCCATTTCTCCCATCACCGCCCTTATCCCTTCCACCGCCCTTATCCCTTCCTTCCTTCCCACCCCACTCACGCTTTTCACGCCTCCCTGTACCCTTGACGCGGAATGAGTTAACGCAACATGTCCGGACTTCTCGTTTGAGTCGCCTCAAGAGGGGTCCTTTCGCGAGTCGCTAGCCTATCGTCGCTACGAATCGATCGCGACGCCGTGTTCCCTGCCTCAACCCGCGCTCTTCATTCCCGCGCGACCCGTTTTCCCGCCGTTTCTTGCGCCATGGAGTCCGCGCCGCCGCTCTCCGCCATGCCGTCCCCCGCGAGCCTCCTCGTCGCGCTTCTCGCGCTGCTGCTCACGGCGCTGCTCGCCGCCGCTTTCGAGTTCTTCTGGGGCGCGCCGCGCCGCGCCATGGCGGACCTCGCAGCGCAAGGCGTGCCCGGACCGCCCTTCCGGTTCTTCTACGGCGTCCTGGCTGACATGATCCAGGTGCGACCCGCTTCAGTTGCGACCCGCTCCGGATGTGACCAAGCCTGCGTCTGCGTCTCCGTTTGTATCTGTGCGTGGTTGCCGGTACAGGTGCGACGCGCGACCCTGTAATGTGGTGCACACAGGTCGACCTTCTGGCCCTCTCACGGCTCGTCTAATGCAGGTGTGCTGTGCACACACACAGGCGCAACACGCGTTTGAGATTCTCAGAAGCGCCTGTGTGCAATCAGCACCCCTCCATTCCGCTGCCCCCCCCACTTCGTCCCCCTTTTTCCCCCACCTCCTCCTCTTTCCCTCCCCCCCTTCCCTCCCCCGGGTCGGCTCCTGCAGTTCCGCAAGAGGCGTCAGGCGGACCCTGAGTTTGCAGCGAGAAGCACGGCCACACACGTGCTGGATACCCTGGTTGCCAGGTGGGTGCGCTGGGGTGCCGAGGGCAGGGAAGGGGAGGGGGGGGGGGGAGGATTGAGACGTTTTAAAACTGCGCCTGCAGCGAGCAGCACAGCCACACACGTGCTGGATTCCCTGGTCGCCAAGTGGGGGGGAGGTCGAAGAGGAGTAACGGGGTGGGGGTGGGTGGGGTGGCGGGGAGGAGTGGGGAGGGGGTGGGTGGCGATCGAGTGATTGGCTACTGCATTGCGTTGTCCCCGTGCCATTTCTTTCCATCCTCCCGTGAGCAGCGCAGTGCCATGACTTTTGCGTTGTCCTCCTGTGTTGCTGCACTGCAGCCCTTTTACGGTACTATGCGAGCAGTCAAGAAGGACCGTGCTTTCCATCCTCCCATGAGCAGGGCCATGAGTGCTGCTGCTCACGCCCTCCTTTCCATCCTTTATCCTCCCCTTACCATCTCACCCCATCCCTCGTCCATCCCATCCCATCCCATCCCATCCCCCCTCTTTAACTCTTCCCCATCTTCCCCCTCTTTCCCCCTGTTCTCTTCTCCCCTCGCCGCCTTTCCCACCTCCATCCTCTCCTCCCTCCCGTTCTCCACCCCATTCCCCTCGCCTCCCCTCTCCCCCCTCTTCCTCCCTGCCCTCCCACTCCCCTCTCCCTCTTCCCCCTCCCCCCTTTCCCGCTTCCTAGCCACGGCCCAATGCTGCGCTACTGCTTCGGCCCCATCCTTTCCCCACTCCCTGCCCTCCCATCCCTTCCCCCACGTCCCCTCGATCTCCCCCCATTCCCCTCCCCCCCCAGCTACAGCCCAGTGGTGCGGTACTGCTTTGGCCCCATTTCGTTACTGACACTGTCCTCCCCATCCCTTCTCCTCCAACTCTTCCCCCTCAATCCGCTCTCCCCCCACTCCCCTTCCCCCTTCCCCCCGCTTCCAGCTACGGGCCAGTGGTGCGCTACTGCTTCGGCCCCATGTCACGAGTGCTCCTCGCTGACCCCACGCTCGTGCGAGCGGCCTACATCACGCACAACGACGCCTTCCCCAAGACCACGCTCATCCGCGCCGCCTTCCCGCTCTTTGGCAACGGGCTGGTTACCGCGTCGGGGCCGTTCTGGGCCACGCAGAGGAGGAGGATCAACCCCGCGTTCAAGCACAGCGAGCTGAAGGTGAGTGCATGGGTGTGTGTTTGTGACCCGGTTTTCTCCTCCTGCCTCTGTCCCTGCTCCCGCAAGACCTTCCGGCTGCAGGGCAACAGGCTGGTTACCGCATCGGGGCCACTATGGGCCGTGCAGAGGAGGAGGATCAACCCCGCGTTCAAGCACAGCGAGCTTAAGGTGAGTGCATGGGTGTGTGTGTGTGACCCGGTTTTCTCCTCCTGCCTCTGTCCCTGCTCCCGCAAGACCTTCCGGCTGCAGGGCAACAGGCTGGTTACCGCATCGGGGCCACTATGGGCCGTGCAGAGGAGGATGATCAACCCCGCGTTCAAGCACAGCGAGCTCAAGGTGAGAGCACGGGTGTGTGGCCGCCCTGCCCCTGCCCCTGCCCTTTCCCTTGCCCCTGCCACTGCTTCCCCAAGACGTGCATCATCTGGGCAACGGACTGGTGACTGAATCAGGGGCGCTGTGGGTTTGCAGAGGAGGAGGATCAACCGCGTTGCCCCTGCCACTGCCTCTTGTCCCATTTATGATGTTTTTCATCCTGTTCCTTGCATTGAAGGGGTGTTACTGTCTGGGATGATGGGATCAACTCTGACTAGGTCAATACAAGGCACCTCCTTTTCGTCTCTCCCCCTTCATTTCCCTCTGCTCTTCCTCCTCTATCCCACCCTCTCTGTCCCTTCCTCTCCGCCCCTTTTCCCCACTCTCCCCCCTCCCCCACCCCATAACCAGCGCATGTTCCCAACCATGCTCGAGTGCACCCAAGCTGCCTTGGCGCTCTGGGAGAAGCAGGTCCGGGCCGAGCCTGGAAAGGAGGTTCGGATCGACACCATGCTTGAGACGCTGACTCTGGACGTCATTGGGCGGGCAGCCTTTGGTGCCAGGCTGGGAGGGCCGGAGGGGGAGAATGAGGAGGGGGGAGACGGGAAGAAGGGAGGAGAGGGAGCGGAGGGAGGAGGCAAGGAAGGGAAGAGTGATGCAGAGGTGCTGGTGAAGGCGTTTCGGGCGTATCTAGAGGCGGCAGTGGCGAGTGTGCGTAGTCCACTGGCCATGATTCCTGGATTCCTGTGAGTGCCTCCAAACACGTCAGTCAGGATTTTTAACTTAGAAACACATTGCCCCTTTAACCACATTGCTTGCCGATTTCCTGCACCCTCCGGCTCTTCTCACCCATCTCCCATCACCCACCCACCATTCCCAATGTGCTTCCTTCCTACCATCGCCTCCCTTCCTCCCTCCACCTTTCCCTTCCTTTCCTCCCTCCCCACTTTCCTTATCATCTCGCCCTCCCGCCTGTCCGTTCGCACCTGATACTCCCAGGTTGCTCCCGACAGCGCTGCACCGGCACCGCAACAGGCAGGAGCAGCTCATTCGCAGCATTATGATGCGCATGATTGCCGCCCGCCGCCACCGCCGCCACCAACACACCGCTGCTCCCGCCGCCGCCGCTGCTGCTGGTGCTGCTGCTGGGTCAGAGAACGGTTATGGTACAGGTGGTGGAAAGGAGAGTGGTGGTGGTGCAGGGGAGGAGGGAGCTATCGATTTGTTGGAGCTGATGCTCATGGCCACGGATGAGGAACCCGGTGCTGCAGCAGGAGCAGGAGGAGGAACGGTAGCAGCAACAAATGGAGTAGCAGCAGGAGACGCAGGAGCAGGAGCAGCAGGAGGAGCGTTGAAGACAGCAGCACCACCCGCCCCTGCAATGTCAGATCAGCAGTTGATGGATGAGTGTCTCACCTTCCTGCTGGCAGGCCATGAAACCACCTCCAACCTCCTCACCTGGACCGTGATGCTCCTATCGCAGAATGACACGTGGCAGCAGCGCGTGCGTGAGGAGGCACAGCTGGTCCTGGGAGCAGATGGGGCGGGGTTGACAATGGAGAAAGCAGCAGAGCTGAAAATCATGGGCATGGTTCTGAATGAGGTGCTTAGGCTCTACCCGCCCGCTCCGGCGATTGCTCGCCGCTGCGACACCCGCACTAAGCTAAGCGAAACGCTTACCATTCCTGCTGGTGTGGGAGTGACGGTGGCAGTTGCGGCGATGCACAGGAGGAAGGAGCTGTGGGGGGAAGATGCGGAGGAATTCAAACCGGAGAGGTTCGCGAATGGGATCAACAAG